TTCTACCCCAAAACCGTTGGCTGGGATGTGGCGAGACGCACGTGCTGGGTCGCGTCCCAGCTGTCGTTGCCGGCAACACCTGGACCTCCTAGCAGCTTTTGGGACGGAGGGGAGGGGGGAGGTTTAGGGCGGGGGGTGTATTGAAGGAGCGAATATTGGGGGAACGAAGGAAGGTTCCCTACTTCAGGGTACATAGAAGAGGAAGGAAGAATAGAAGATTCATGGAAATAAGAGTAGAGTGATTTTGTGCTGACACAGCGTATGGGTGGGTGAAATAATGATAATTATTTCGCTATATATTGGAAAAGATTCAGTACAGGTTACGTTTCATCTCTAACACTGGCTTGACTATAGCATATTTCGATACATACTGGTTCGATTATAGTAACTTGGAATCCGAAAAGAAATATTCCATCTTAAAATCACGAATCTACATTTTTGTAGAACATCCAGATATGAGGCCATACTCCGCATGTCAATTATCAGTGATGTAGAGAACTAATTTAAAGGATTTTCTTTTAATTATAGTGCTCTTCTAGAGCCGTTAGTGGTGGTAGCGGTGTCCCGCAAACCTCCCAGTCTCGACCGCCATTTGTTTCCTGAAACTGCAGGCGACCAAGCAAGAATATTTTAAGCCGGAGTACCTTTAATTTGAAATAAATCAAGAAAGCTTGACTATATTAACGTTTTTCAAATGTATTTTTAAAAAATTAAATGAGTTTAAAATTATGAATAGGCAGTGATGAAATTGTACATCAATACAGAGTTACCAAGTAGGGCTTTTCGGGAGCGAGTTGCATGCGATTTAAACGCTGTATAAGTAATGATCCTAGACAGTATAATTCTCCGGGGGTACACATTGAAGAAAGCAATAAATATATCGTTTTTTATTGAGTGCAATTTAAGTTTACGAAGGCAAGAACAATCTGTAATCACCATCAGTCTGTTGATGCAAGTATTTGTGTTTGATTTTGACCAGAATTCAACAGTGCCTTGGTAAGTGCATGAATGCATGTAGTCAGACGGCTTGTGATGACGTAACATGTGTTCTTCATAATTGACAAAATATTTAGGTGACATTAATCTTTAGGTGACATTAATCATTAAGGCCCACAAATAATTATTTATATGTTAATGATGAATTTTGATGTCAATTTCACCGTCACACAAATCCACTCTATGGATCCAATGTGACATTCACTGTATTTACACGAATTCATTTTAAACGTGAAAATCCTACATTTTGTTACAGAGTGGCAGCAAATAGCTTGTCGAGGTACGTACCTGAGAGGCTACATCTACCCGCATGGGTAGACCTCCCCTGCAGTTACATTTAATTTGCCGTTGCTAATCTAGCATCAACATCTGCTACTGGTAGCATTCAAACGTCAGTCTACCCCGACCAAATCCCTCATTTTAACTCACCTTTGAACGAACATAGGTGCTCCTTGATTTAACGAAAATATCGCATATATAATTCCCAAACATATTAAATTTTTTGAGATAACTCTTCCATCAGATATGTTTAAGAATTGAGGAAAATTATCTTTCGACATTATATTTAAAATTTTTTAGTTATAAAAGAATTTGTTTTGCCTATATACAATTTTTTAGATAGTCAATGAACGTGCAAGCAATCATTTTGAACATTCGATTTGCATTCGCTAAGGATATTTATTAATCTTACAATTTTTAGTTATGCACATTTTTTTTAATTCCATGTGTAGCAAATAGGAGTTCTAAAGTGAGTTACAGTATTTTTTTTTGAGTTGAAGTATTTAAATATATCACTTTCATTCACCTTTGAAATTTCACTCGGAATGTTTCTACAGCTTAGAAAATTTTTCTGCATTTTTAGAACGATTAGAGGACAAAATATTAAGTCTAATAATTTGTGAATGAGGAATAGAAAATATATATGATATTAAGATTATTTTTAGAACGTCTCAATATATTCGCAACGGCATCTGTGAACAGACTGACATTTTTTCCAATGTTTCTTAATAACTGTCATAAAAAAAAACAGGAATTTTTCAGAAAATAAAAAATTCGCATAAGCCGCCCATAAAAATATAAAATTTTATTACGTCCCAAATCGCTTCTATGGAGGGAAATTGCAATAAAAACTGGTTTTCTGTTTCTTTAATCTTTAGCTCTAAAGAATTCCTATCTCAGAATTCACACACAAAAAAATAGGATTCACTGTTGTTTGTCTGCCGAATCCGTTGTAGGATTCAACTTAGGTTTCAATTGTTCGTAAAAATATTTTAAGAACCTCGCTCGAATGCTTGCAATTTGAGAATCGAGAAGGCAATTACTTAACAGTTTTGAATTTTTCTTTTTTTTTCATGAAAGTTTTCATAACTTCGTCCATGTATTGCTCCATGTCGCGATTACAAGGCAGTTTTCCCATGAGCTTCACTCCATGGTTCTGCTACTCGTCTTTATTCATGTATTTTCACTATGTCTCTACACCAAGATTCACTCTTCGGCATTACTCTATTGCTTGCTTTATGAATCTATCACATGACTCAATTCTTTGGCCCTATTCTCCCTCTTCTTCATATTCCTCCACAGCTTTACTCAATGTCGTATTAATGGCTTGCATTGTTCATAAAGGGCCACCGGCGCTCCAGATATTGTGCTCGGCAAGCAGTATTGTAATTCCAGAAGCCGATGCACAATAGCATTCCCGGGCACCCTTGTGACTAGGCATTCCAGGCAACCTGGAACCATCGAGGGCTGGAATCACGACGGCATTCCTAATTGATGGCTGCCGGTGGCTTGTGATGGCGGTGGCTTGGTAATGGATTTCCTTACACGGGAGTTGATCTTGACGAGGATCTCAAGAGATCTGAATCGATGTTGCGATGGTATCAAATATTATAATATGTTTGATTAAAAATAATGCCAGTTTTATAATAATATAACAATAAAACATAATATTATAATATTAATAACTAAAGAAATATAATTAAATATAATAAAATAATATTATAATAGTAAACAATACGTTACGAAGATAATAAAATAATATTATAATAGTAAACAATACGTTACGAAGAAATATTATGATCTAAGCAGACATTACGATCTCAACAGATATTACGAGCTGAATTTATGTTACGAGCTGCACATATATTATGATTTGAACAGATATTACGATATCAAAAGATATTGCGATCACAACATATACATATTGCACTTAGCAATATGTATATGCACTTAGCAAGTGCTGGCATGAATGTTGACCTCTCAGTATAGAGGGCCAAAATACGCTACTTCGCACAGTACCTACAGTTTAACTGCCGACATTGAGCAGTATCATGGTACGCATGACTTACTTTAGTACTGGGCAGGAGTAGTGTACCTTGAGTACTTAGTACGGCAGGGGTACCCAGTCTTCCAGAGCTGATCCATTGAGGTACAGGGACTTTGTACCTCAATGTTTGGTGCTATTTAGGTACAAAGGCTTTGCTCCTGTGCTACTGCAGGTCTTTGTTATGTCGCAGACATTGTGGCTGAAGCAGCAGCAAAAACCTCCTCTATAGCACTTGTTTAGGCTAAAGAAATTCGACAAGAACAACAAGAGTCGCAGTAAAATTTGTGTCACGCTTTCAATAAATTTATGAATTATTTATTATTAGAATTGAGATAAAAATTAATAAATATCACAGTTATGCCAATGAATTTTCCGACATTATTGTTCTATTTCTATATGCAATAAAATAAGGCAAATTGTTCATATAGTTTGAGAATTCAGGTCTGATTTTAATACCCCAGAATTCATAATTATTTCCAAGTCGACAGCCAGTTCTTCACAGTCATTTCAGCCGGGTTCAGCCACACCGCATTCCGTATACTGATTATGCAATCAGCCGTGGCTGAGCAAAGCTTCGTGCGAAAATAATCGCTGCAGCCAGTCAGTCAGCCGGCGGGACTTTCAATTCGTGAAGCCAGCGACGCTAAAGCCGGACCACATGTGCGGCTTGTCGTTCAGTCGAGCGACGACGCTCGTGCGAGTAAGTGGTGTGTGTGCTGGTGAGTGAAAGTTACCTTGTTCACTGAAACTCTGTTGCTCTGAAATAAGGCAATAAAAGTTGAACATCAACTTGGCCCTGGTGGAAAATAAAGCAGTATTCGCAAGTCATTGATTTGTTTGTATACAAATTCTTTTGACTGCAAAGAAACAAAAATTTTTTCTGGAACTTGTAAACAATTTTCATAAAATAAAACTAATGTTCATAGAAATACTTCATATCTAAAGGCAATGAATATATTATATGTTTACTACTGAATACCTAACGCGCCCGTTGCAATGACCGTTTAAGCGGCCGTTGGCGTCAATGAAAAAATCAATTTCAGCACGCAGCTTCTAGAGCCACACGCTCGACATCGGTCCACGTGAATACATTGTGAATTCAGTCGTGAATATATTGTGAATAGATGTATTCCAGTTAACACATACACTCTTCGAGGTATAACCGAACATGTCATTTCAAAGTGCTTCCCTTTGATGTCGCATTGGACAGAAAAGAGCAAAACCTGACTTCTGAACGAGCCTGACTGCTGAAATAATGAAATCGGGACGAGTGATATTGATATTGATAACATTCATTGATGAGCTGTTGAACTTGAAGCTTAATAAGTTTGAATCGTGAATCCAACGACACAGGAAACTACACGGAGTTTGACGGAGTCAAGTTTTCAGAATATTCTAAATTTTCTAGCTTCAAATGAAGTTACAGTGCGAATTAATCGTATCAGTTCATAAGTAAACTGCATGAATATATAAATCCATTTATTACCTTGTTTGTGATATGAATGATAATTTGCTGAGTAATAAAATATGAACCAATGATGTACAGTGCACACTGATCAATGTAAAAATCAATAACACAAACCTATTCGACAATAAATGAAAGAAGCGACAAATAATTAATAGAAGAGGATATTGAAAAGCTACGCGTAATTCACCCTGATCTTCCCCTCTGTTGAGGATGTCGGGGCTTCCTGCTTCCCAGCTCGTGGGGCTCGTGGTGACGGTGTGCTCTGCTGCCGTCCTCGCTGCTGACCTGGCCTCAGGTCTGTCCTGATTATATCATAATCTTTATCTTGGTTTTATGATAATTCTTATCGGTATTATATGATGTCATCATCGTTATTGTATGACATCCTTATCGTTATTGTATGATAATAATTATCGTCATTATATTATAATTCATATCGGGATTATATCATAATCCTTATCGTGATTATGTGATAATCCTCATCGTGATTATATGATAATCCTTATATTTGATTCATGTTGTTAACTGTCCTAGCATAATACTCATTGTTAACTGTAATGACATGATTATCCTTGCTATTGTTAACTGTAATGACATAATTTATTTTACATGTTATTAACGTTGTCAACTGTCCTAACGTGCTTATCCTTATTATTGTTAGCTATACTGACATGACTAATCTTAAATGTGATTAATGTTGTTAACTGTCCTGACATGATTATCCTTATTATTGTTGACAGTCCTTGACACGATCATCATTCATATTGTTAACTTTACTAACAGGATTGTCCTTCAATTGTTAACCGACTTGACTATCCAAGCACATGCCACATCGTAATTTTTGCTATAAATTGTATGGTTGTCCAAAAACTCAAACTGAAATAAATCTGTTTTGGCCTGAGTCTTGAATTCTTGAAATTAGAGTCTTGAGTCTTGAATCAATCAGACTGAATTTTTAAAGCAGAATCGGCACAGATTAAACTGAACTACCGATGCAGGAGGTTTCGATGCATGGGTCCGTAAAGATCAGCAAATACGAATGAATTCCGCACAGTTTCTTGATAAATGATAGTTATATTTTTAATGTATTAATGTATTCATTACTAATAATTTTATTAACGAAAACATACCTGAACGCAAAAGTTGTGAATGACGACATATCAGTTGGAATAAATCTACGGACCTTCTTGCTCTCCTCTGGTGTGACCAGTCGGCGATTTAAATGCGTTTTCGCTACTTTCAGTGAAATATAATGCTCCTGACGGCAAATTTTATGAAAAATCAGTAGAAGTTTTCTATTCAAAATTTGTGCTTAATGGTTATTGTAATTTTAATGTACCATATCCATGAATTAAATGGATACGATCGTACGCCAGATAGTAAAATTACGCCACGATTACGAAAACCAATCAGCCAATAACCATTTGGGCCGCAGCCACACGACGACTAATAACCGATGCTAAATCTACATACCGAATTCTTCCAGAACTTACAAAAGCATTTAGAAGTTTCGAGTCTCTCAAGTTTTTCAGAATAAAAGTGAAGTGTGAATAGAGAATTGTTTTTGAATTAAAATTCAAATTTACTGTTTGTGATTATATTAATATTCTTTATTTTTATTCAGCAATGAAAAGAGGTTGTCTTAATCAAAATTGCAGTGATGCATCAATGTGAAGTTATATCACTGATAAACGATTGACGGCCCATAATGATTCTAAATAAATCAGTTACACTCTTATAATTGCCCGGATAATATCCTGAAATTTTAAGCTGCGTGCTCTAACGTGAGCTCGGAAACTAGTCTCAGTTTACCACTGAATTACAATCTGTGGTTATAAAGCGGCGATTTTCCCAGGCTTCGCAGTGCGTGGGAATTTTCAGTTGCGGTGAAGTTTTCAAGAGCAGCACGAAGCGCTTGGCTGTTGCGAACTTATAAAATTAAAACATCATATATCACTATATAATATTATCCTTCATTGCCAAACATTTTCTTGACCTAGGAAACTTTATCTTTAACAATGAAATATTTTATTTCGCTTCTAAATTATATCTTTAACTGTGAAACATTTTCTTTCGCTTCGAAATTATATCCTTAAATATGAAATATTAGGTTTCGCTATGGACACATATATTATTTTTGTACTTAATTATTTTATCAATAGAAACCCACTCTCCAGAAATGCAATTAACACTCAATTGAGCTCATTACGGTAGAACTGCCTGTCGTGAACACTACATATTTAGCTCTTAACATAGATAACATTTTACCGTGAACATTTCGTCGTAATTTTTACTTTGATAACATTACGTTAAGAGCAACTGGTTGTATAAAGTGCCGTATTGTATTGCACAATTCATGAGTGTAGGTAGGCTAGGTAGGGGAATATCAAGCGCTGTTTATCCTCAGCACCCACAACACTCACGTCGGCAGGTCAAAGATCCCCTCGTTTCCGGTCTGGAATTAGGGGCTGCGGAACCACTGAGGGGAATCGGAGGGGAACGGCCTCCCCACATCCTATAAAAAAAATAATAATAAAGTCTCTCACAACTTGCTGAAGAATACATTGAAACAGAAACTAGTTTTAAAAAATATAAAACTTAATTAGTTCAAATTTTCTCGATGCTTAATAACATATATAAAATTGGGTGAAAAATACAATAATAATGGAAAAGGACAGACGTTTTTCCAACTATTTTTGGAACGTATATTGAGCTTAATTTAAAAAAAAAATACATTTTTTGTCCGCAGACACTGTGACTTGCGTCCTTCTCTTCCTTGCTGGCCGTACCTCATGGGCGGCAGTGACGGCCGTGTGGCCGCTTCTGGCCGTCGTTGTGACCGTCATCTTGAACGGCCCTACGGTGCCTGACACGCCATCAGATTCTCACGTTAATGCAAACAAGAAAACTTCAGAAAACTCTACTCGCAGCTCCAAAAATCAAGCAAGCAACTTGAAACAATCACAAAATGAGGCTATTAACGAATGCAAACGAATTGATGCTAGGAACGGTAAAACATACCAAGAAAACTTTAATAATCAACAGCAACTTCAGCAAGAGCATGAAAGTGGAATCGAAGAAAATGTTGCTAGTAACCACCAAACATCTGATAATAATGGACAAGAACAATTTTCCGATAATGATCGAGAAGAAGCAAACGACAGTGACCGCGGCAGACCGGATGACAGCGGTCTAGCGAGGTCTGCAAAGCAGCAACGTTTCATTGGCGGAACACTACACAGGTAAGCAGGGATTAATAATGAATCACTTTGTTAAGCATGTATGATTCAAAACTAAATATAATTACTAATTATATGTTTTCAGTTGTAATTTTGTAGAAAGTCCATAATTATTAAGTAAATTAACACATTTTTGCTCTATTAGTGATATTTATAGTTGAAGAAAGTTTCGACGGCATTGAATTCTTGAGTGTACGATGGATGGTCCAGTTGGTGTTGAAAAATCAGGTAAGAAGAATGCAAGTATCTAAAAGAATTGAAAATGTGTTGCCGCGGTGTAGAAGCCCTAAAATAATGTTAGCAAAAGTATGTGAATATTTTACCCGTAAATATCGAAACGTAACAAAGCAAGTAGATATGAAATTTATAAATTTTTTATATGAAAGTTGGTGCAATCTATTGAGCACCCGTTGAACAGTTGGGTAGAATGTCTCTAGATTTATTTTTATGAAAGATAAATAGACTTAAATTACATTTTTTTATCATTTGTGATTTGATTTTGTTTCTCTCTCAAATTTTAACGCTTACGAGAATTAAACTTTAATTTATGCGCAGGTATATCAGCCTCTTCGCTCTTCAGCTGCGGAGAGAAGCAGGCGAGAAGCATATCGCTGCTGCGGAGCACTCCGCTGCATTAGTACATCTGCTGCAAGCTGCCTTGCAGTCTGCACCGCAGCTGCTGCTGCAGCTCTATGGCGTGCTGCATCTGCAGCACCAACAGCCGTATATAAGTAAGCCTGCATTTAATTTATTTAAAATTTGCTTATAATGACAGCTGCTTAAATATTTTAATGAAATAACAATCCTTGTGTTATTAGGATGCAAAAAACTGGCAATGAAATAAATACAAATGAAGCAAGTTATCGTGCAAGACAGGCTGGGTACAAATGTCTTATAAATTGATCGTGTGTACAAAGACTAGATTGTTTATGAAAACGAGTAATTTAAATATTTCTGTCTTTTTCGTGCGTTTATAGTTGTTTGTGCCGTGACTTCCCTAACAAACTTGCTGTGGATCGTCGGAAACTTCGCATTCTATCCTAGCATCCTTCCGGTCCGTCACTCTGAGGACTCGGTACCGAAGACTGGAAAATCTACGGACAATCGACGCATAAGTTCAGGCGTTCAATCTGATGGATTGTCAAGCATGCGCGAACAAAAGTCTACTCAAAATTCATTGAATGTTTCCAACTCACTCCACCCGATAAGGAAAGATCAAGATATTTTCAGCAACCATACAAAAGTCTCCAATGTCCAAAATAACACAGAAAATTCCATTGTAAATTCAGAACAGAAAAATTTCACAGAAGGCGAAATTAAAACATCTGGTGGTTCATCCAACAGAAATTCTCGAATTTGTCATTCCCGATCAGACTCCGGCCTCGATAACTCTTATCGCGGCAGCCAATCGTTACCGAAGTTCCTAGACTCAAATAACGACCATCAGAACGGGTCAAAGTTCTTCAGTCTGCCTTCAAACTCAGGTTATCAACCCATGCAGCTTGGCAGCGTCTGCGTCTCGTCTGGTCTCTTAGACGTGCCATTAAAACCTATCAAAACGCACAAATTTGGCAGCGTTATTACGCTGAAGGAACGCAGCCTCATGACCAGCAATAGTCATAACAACGTACACTGCGTTAACAAGTGAGAACACTTCATGTTAACTACGCATTGCATGTTCGAAAATTTATACATTTATCTGGCTTTTAATGGAACGAAGCGATCTAAAAATTTTAAAATTACCTTGAATGAAAATTACGTATATGTATATAAACAATCGCACATGTACATTTTTGAAAATAATTTCATATTAAGTAGTACCCATAATATAATTTCAAATTAACTAATACCCATATTGGCTCATGATTCATTTGGTTGCGTTTCAATACGTATGTCGATTCCACTTAATCTTTAATAGCGACATATTTACGTACTTCAATATCATTAACATCACATAGTTTTTGATTAAGCAATTCAATAAAGTTTTAACGTATTGCTTCAACTTTCAGCTAATCAAACATTTTTCATGATTTTTGAACATTTGCCTTACCAATAACGTTTTGTCTTCATTTCTTCCTACATGTCCTATTTCTTCCAACATGTTCTATTAATAACTCGCATATTATTTCCCTTACATCAGCAAGGCACTGCGAGACTCTGGCAATCACTTGACAGCGACTCTGGTGTCAGCTGTGGCAGCTCTGTCAGCTGTGCTGCTGCTGGCAGCGCGTCTGGCAGCGCTGACAGTGACAGCTCTCATGATTGGTCCTTGGCTGTACATGACTGCATGTAAGTTATTATTGCTTTATGTTTATGTTTTATTATTTTAATGTTATATTATGTTATTATTGTTACTAAAGTTTATGTTAAATTTCTTTAGTTGATTACATTATTAATTAAATTATTAATTGTATATTAAATTGAGTTGGTACAGAAATACCTACAAATAAGTCAATTAATATGACTCGAAACTCAATAGAGATATTACTTATTTGCACAAAAATAATATGTCTTATGATAGTTATGATATGTGTCTTATGATAATTGTGTCATTATATTCAATTTAATGAAAAAAAACATAAAAATGAACACGAGATCACGAAAATCTGATTGATCTTCCGAACTACTTAACAAAGATTAATACTTAATAATACTTTAACATAATCAATATTTCCTATAAATATATGCATATGTCAATATTTCGCATATGTATATATCAATATTTCGTATATATATATAGATATAACTATTACTTATACACATTGCGTTGTGGTGCAGGCGTGCACGTGACGGTGATGTTCGTGATGGTGGTGAGCGAGAGGCCGGGCTTCAGTGATGTCCTGTGGCGAGACGTGGTGATGAGTCTCACCACAGCTACCGCTTACTGCATCACTGTCATACCACTCTCTGTAAGTCATTATTATATAGGATTTTAATCATAATTATTGTGATGTGCCTTTTGGTGATGATTTCGTGGATGATATACTTTTGATACATAGATGTTGAATTAATGGGCATAATATAGATAATATCCTTGAATACATTATTAAATTGATATTAAATTAATTATGGAAGAAATTATGATATTCTGGCTCGTGTTTTTTCAATAATTAGTTTCTTGTTTTACTACATCAACGAAGAATCATAGAATTTACAACAATTCTTTTTCTGACATTGCAGACCAAAACTACAACATGGCGGAAGGTTGTTTGTTTCGCCATATTGTCACTCGAGGATTTATCAGCAGTTACTGCATTCTTCTTCTTACCTGGTCACTACTGCGCGCAGTACAAACTACTTGTACTGCTGCTTGTCTCTGTACTGTCACTAGTAGGTTAGTACTGCGCACAGGTCTTCTTAAAATAATACTGCGCATACTGCAGTCAACACAGAATTTACTAAACTTCCAATTTCTGGTTAGGGTTTGTTAGTTCATAACTACTTAAACTTTCGATGTTAGTAGGTATAAGAATATAATAAAAATTTCACAGCTTATAATTTAGCATACCTTGCGCTGCATCAAATATTTCGTTGCATTATGCTCTCACTGTTCATCTGACATAAATTATTATACTAGAATTTATTTCCAGGCCTCAGCCTTCAGCTTCTAAGCAAGATCATCTTGCGGAGGCAAAATAAGCGACGACCCCGAGACCTGGAGCTGGGCACCTGCCCCCCTGGGGGCTGCCTGCCGGGGAGCTGCCTGAGGTACGATGTCGGGTTTTGATGGGTAACCTGCCTGAGGTTAACATGAGAGCAAGCGGCCATACGGTTAACATGAGAGCAATTCTATCCCAAACTTAATCTTTGCTTCCTAAGTTCAGAAATTTTGCCCTAAATAATTTTATAACAAATTTTAATTTTTTAATGAACGCTAGGAGACGAAGAATTGTTAATGGTTTTCCTCGTATGTAAAAATTTCAAGTTGATTGATATCGAGTGCATTTCCTATTCATCACACGTATGTCAAACACGCATTGCGTAATTAAGCAATTTATATGTAATTTGCAGTAACGTTATTTCTGCAATATTTATCATCGGTTCATGAACAAGGTTTACTACATGCAAAATTCGCTGATGAATTCTTTCCGCTTGCAGTTATCCAAAAGTTGCTGCCACTCTTGCGCTCCCTGAAGACACGTCAGACGATTTTTCGGGAGTCAGCGATTCAAACTACGGATCTTCTTCTCCAGCTCCGTCTACAGACAACAACGATGGCTGCGTTCCTCTGGAAAGACAGACTGGGTTGCTGTGTTCGGTCCAGGATTTACTGGCGAACATGTCGTGCCTTAATGAGGACTTACAACTGGATGAATCAACAGGCGAAGGAGTTCATGAATTAGAGGGCAATACTAGAGGTACGAAGTGGAGTTCGCGTAGACAAGATTGTGTGACCGAGTCGGAAGATCCGAATCTCCGGTCCACGTGGAAAACGCAAAACGAAACTTGGAACTCTAAAAGACCACTTTCAACTGTGGGCAACCTGTCATGTCAGAGTAGAAGCACATCAAGCCGAATGAACGGTGTTTCAAAATTCGCAACAGTGTTTCATACAAGATCTTTCAACAGAGATTGCTCGAGCCACGCCCCTGTCCAGACTGGAAGCCTGTCTAGCGTGGCATTCAAGACTAATGCCGATTATGAGAACTATCCTCAAGGAGATTTTCAGTGCACAGAATATAAAGAATCCGGTGAAATTCCTGCCATTGCTACATATTCACCGTCATCTCTTGAGCGATCGGTGACCCGAGAGTTCGATGATCGTATTCAAGTCTTACAAGATGCCACTCACGACGTTTCTAGTCTCGCCAATTCCTCTTCAGGTAGCTGCTGTACGACTCCAGGTACAGGGTTGTTACGACAAGTGAGTGCTGCAGAAGGATATCGGCACAACAATCAGCTGCAACACCGCAAAAATAACTCATCTTCAAGCATACTGAGAGCTGTAGACGCTGAACATGACCTAATTTCAGCGTCTGAAACAGAAATGAAGCTCATCAGCATCCCGCAAACTTCTCCATCTTCACTGTACTCTTCGTTGAATAATTCTGAGAGTACGGAGTGCGACACGGCCATCGAAATGAAACAGACCAGTTTCCATAGACCAGCTTTGTGCCATGTGGAGTACAGTACCGTCAGAAAACTGCCCTCAATAAGGAAGTCTAGGAACGGAAAACATGATTACGAAAACGTCTACGACGACATGCGTGTTGAGGAAAATAGTCCTGAACAGAATTGCTTAAATGCACTCAACGAAAATTTCGCAAATGAGACTGGAAATTGTGGATCAGAAATATGCATTCAATCAGCAGAGGAAGCAGAACGCGGTAGAAATTGTATGATGACGGATCTCTCACAAGCATGTGGAACAAATCATATCAGTTCTCAGAGTGGCAATGAGAAGAAGTGTCATCAAAATCATAATTTACAAGCCGTGCCTACTTCAACTAAGATATCAGCTCTTCCTCTGCCGCTTCCTCCAAGGACTTACATCATTCGTTACCCATACCAATATTTTCCCCTCCCAGCAATAAAAGTTCCTGATGTTGGAAATCAGTCTACTAACAGCTCGAACCATGACTATGAAAATTTGCCACCAATGAACGTCAACAGAGGATTGTTCGGCGTCCGGCACTGGAAGGCCTACCTCGATATCGAAGACAGAACTCACGACTATAGCACTTTCAAAGAGAAGAGCAAAATAAACAGCACGGCGTCGTCCAGTCTGACATCAGACTGCAGTGAACTTAAAAATGTTTCGTCTGGACGCACTAGAAAAAGCCTCGTGGATGACAGCGAGTCGGTCCTGTCAAGGTCACTGCCGGACCTCAGCAATCTAGTTCTCGAAGCCTGCATCGAAGTCCCACCAGAAGAAAATCAGGAAATTGGTAACGACAAGAAAGCACTTGATAAACTACCTGATAATGTGAGATTAATTTCTGTTCTGAATACTCTCAGGGCCACAAAAGTTTTGAGAACAAACTCTGTTGATGATCTATCTAACTACGAAACTATTTGGCTTGACGATATTGACGAAACCTTGAAAGCTGAGAAACAAGCATCAGACACTTCTAATAACACAGAACATTCATCCCTGATTACAACAATTGGAGACGTAAAGACAAAAGGTTCTCTTTGTAATTTGTACTATAGTACTATGAGCGATCTGTCAAGGAGATTTTATAGTGAGACCTTGCTTCGGCAAAACTCTTCACGACTCCAAACCTCACTTTGTGGGGTTTCGAGAGGAGCTCCTATGGAGGTGGTGCACCTCGGCATCATGGACAGAATCTCCTCCAGGTCATCGGTTAGGTCTCAACGAGCACAGGGACTTCAAGGTATTGCAGAACTTGTCGAACCAACTGACGTCAATTTCGACAAAAAAGCAGCAGATGATTTGCCTAAAACGCCAACACCAGAGTTGAACTTGGATTTCGATTATAAAAATATTAACGGCTTTACGGCGCCCCAAAACCTAAACACATCAGTTAATATAAATGAAGGCCTAGAAAATCGGCCGAGACGTAAACTATCAATGATTAGGGAAAAATTCGAAGGTCAAAGATGGACGTCGCTTAAGTCCCCCTTAAAGTTTCATTCGCCTGCCAAGGCAATCCAAGCGGGTCTTCGTGTCTTCAACAGGCCCAGGGTTCATATCATCACACCGAGCGACGAAGACGAAGTAGAAACATTTGGAGATAAACTCAAAAGTCCCTTCAAATCTAAACCAAAAATTGTGAGCACCCCACCTCCTACTTGCGTTGGTAAGGATGATAATAATACGTATGCAAAGCCTTTTGAAGATGCAAGTAATCTTACGCAGCTTAGGAGTAAGAAAATAACACCAAATTCCCGCCTTCTGACTTCAAGCCAATCATGTTTTTCATCAGTTAGTGTTGCACAAGAAACCCCACTTCCTAATTCTGTCAGGTCAGTTCAAAAGACGCCAAAAACGAGCACTCCAGACAACGCTAGAAACAAGAAGAACAACAGATGTGAGTCGTCGATAGATTCTTCTAAATGTGATTCCCTTGTGGCTTCTGCTCCCAAACACAGCACTCCTGAAGGCATTGCTCATCACTTGCCGCAACTCAGCGCCATCAGCGGCCTGTCAAGTGTCGTCGAGTCTCCGGAATTGTCTCGAATAAATTCAACATACGGACCATTGCCGAGAACCTACTCGTCTGCCCGCGGCGTCGAGGGCGCCATGAGGAGGCTTCCATTGTCAGAGAATGTGAGGCGAGGAGGGGACAGAGTTGATAACTATGGACGGAAAATTTCTTTTAATGACACAGATAGAAAAAGCGAAGTCATTCCTGTAAACTTCAACGATTGTGGAATTGGGAAACGCTCTCAATTATCGAGGAAAGATTCTCACACAATGTTCAAAGAAAACAATTATGATCCTCAAAATATAACTAGAGTTAAGGCTTCACCTCATAACAACTACTTAGGCTTTCATGGTCAACAAGAAACGAGTTACAGCAAAATGCCGATGCTATATCCGCGAATATCCGAAGCCTATAGAGATAATAATATATTTATCGCTCCTCTGCCAGTGGCCACTTATGGCATCAATAACCAAAAATCGACGCTCACTCCCAATTCTAAAATTTTCGACAGGAAAATATAAATATGTTGGATCTTTTTTAGTATCCAGACGACGAGCTGAAATCCAAAGATAGGTGCTGGAGAACCAAAATATGACCTGGTCGACTTTTCTCCATAGAAAATGAAATGAATGGGAAATTTTTTAAAAATCTTATTTAGGAATGCAAATGTGATCTCAATTGATCTTTCCGTGTTTCTGTTAGGTTACATCTTTTTCCTAAATCACATTGCCTGCAATCAGCTATGAAGTAAGACTTTTTACCATCTGTTATCCCTAACTATCAATTTATGTCCTGAAACTGTCTTTTCATTACGCCATCTGAAAAACTAAATTTATACGACCGCAGTCTAAATTATTATTATAATACATGTTTTTTCTTGTGTTCGCTAATCAAATCATTGTTAGAAAGATTCGTAAGACTGTGATGTGTTCGCGCGTATAATATACCTCTTCTTCTTGTCTTTACTGTTCTTCATTAATATTTAGTCGAGTATCAAATAATTATAATGATTAATTCTGTTGCTTTAATTAATCTGGAAACGCATTCCTTCATTAATCCTGTGAATGCTAATGTAATTTTTTAATCGGACATGTAATGTATGACGATATTATACTTGCGTGCATGGTTCATATTTGTCTTCTGGTGTTATTTTTGTGTCTAATGATCTTTGCATCAGTTCGCCAATTCTCGTACTATCTGCCGTCAAAAAGGAAGCAAGATTTACATATTATGCAAGAGAAATTCTTAAGAGTGTATTTACGGCATACAATATGCTGCGACTTTGGATAGCTATGCAAATAACTCTGCTTTTGTTGTGAAATTTCAGTCAGAAATATTAACCGAATTATCGCTTTTATCAGGAGCAGATTTGCTGTTGGTGAGAGCCATAGAAGGATATAAATTGTGATCAGATAACACTTTTCATTACATAGGATGTCAAAAAGATTATAGTCATAGCTCAATATTGTCTAGTCTATAATTTACATGTGATTAAAATATGATCTTTTATCAAAAAATAATTGACCGATAGCCAAAGTTTTTCATTTTCATTTTTTGTTTAAACTTTTCTATTTGGATTTTCTTTATGTTTCGGTAAGATATGAATAAATCTCGCTTTACAATATATCGTTTTACGTCACGGTAAAAATTTTGGGTATAAATCGATTGAGTCCACGAAGAGAAAACGTTTTAGCAGAATGATGTCGTTTCAGTCCTCGCAAAAAGATATTCGTGTGGGTGATGCATGATCCTTTCATTATGTTAGTACTGGTAGCAACTTTAGCATTTTACTCTTATAGTTTTGATTAAAGTATCTAGCATACCAACGTGGAAGGCTAATGCGCTGTTGTTTGTCATTTTGAGATCCATTCGAAAAGACGTAAATTAGAATTAAATAACTCAAGAATGGCGACTCAAGTTGCTTACGAAGTCGCAAAAACCGTCAAAGACGTGTACATCTTCATCATCAACGTGACCAAGTTCCTTTTCGCTAAACGATATGTGCTCGCTCACCGACATTATGAAGGGCGATGGACGATTATAGACGAGATCGTCTTAACGTTTATGTTTCCTTAATAGCGGATACAATGGCATTAAAAGTACACATTTAAACGATGGTTGAAAATATTTAGATGGGCGATATCACCCAGAGGTTACTTCGGGCGGATCGCCATGTGGGTGAGGAAGCAAAGGTTCTTGCACAGGATGGCCATGCTACATAAGATGAGAGCTCAGAGAGACAAGGCCGCATACGAGGCAATGTTGGCTAAAGGGCCCAAGAGAATCAAATTAAAAGATGCCAAGAAACTTAAAAAACCTACAACCAAGCCTAAAATATAATCACTATATGCATACGACAGAAATTTCAAAGGCAAGGCCATGTAATAACTCTGGGCGACGCTCATTTGGACTACATTGTCAGCAAGCTTCACATTGGCAGCTTTTTACCTCCTCTTCTACTAATTGAGAACGAGCCCCGAAGCAGCAAAGGATATTTGCATCACGTTTGCACTGTGCATCCCTTGCATTGGGTGTATTTATGACTGCAGGGCCATGTTCACTTTGTTCATCATGAACTTCTTCTCCAAAAAAGGACGCCAATTTGTGTTCGTGATCATCTTGATTTTGGTCACTGAAGGACCGTACAGAAATTTTTTCAACAATCAAGTTAGACTACAAGCCTCATATGCCTGCAACCAATAGGAGTTTGAAAGGGCGAGGGCAGACGTGTCAGTTTTACTGCGACTTCCATTCACTATTTTGTCCAAAGCTCTTCAACGCGTGCTCGAGTCCATCAAAATTCGGGTCGAGAAGTTGGAAGCGGTAATGTTGGATTTCCGTAATAGTGTAAGGGAGATCACGGATGTCATCGAAAAAACATTCGATTATCTAGCTAGCATCGTAGGATTCTGCGGTAAAGACGTAATGAGTCCGTTTGCTAAATGCAATTTCAAAATGAAGAATGCATACGATGACTGCTTGTTGAAAGTCTCTGCTTCTCTCTGCAGCATCGTGGATTCTACACGGCAAACGTTCTGTCCATTATTGAAAATTGGTGACGCAATATGCTCGATTCCAAAAGTCATAAAAGATAACCTTGGGATGAAAGTAAAATAACACACTGAAAAACTCCTGAAAGACGTGAAGGCCGCTCTTCAAGTAAAAGTGGTGCACGAAAGTCACATGAGCATGAACGTTACCTAAACTAAAACTATTAAAGAAGCCATGTAGAACATGAAAAAAAATATCCAAGATAGTCTCATGCCACCTACCGGAGGAAGTATATTCGCATATTTGAAGATATTTTTCCCAGTTGTCTTGTTCTTGAAGAGCGTTTATTTTTCGTACGATAGTGTTCAGAAATTCAAAACTGACGACAGCTGGTACAACTCTGTTGTTAACCAAGCGATTGGGGCAAAAATCGACGATGAGAGGGAGTCACGCGGCCAGTCTAGAGTTTTTCCGTTACATAAAGAAGAGTTACTATTATTTCACTAGAGTATTTTTAGCTTACCACTGGATGCCGTAGAAAAACGTCGAGTCATCATAAATTTGTTCATGTTTTCCCCTATGATTTTGTTCGCCATTTACTGCATGTTTATGGACTTCACTACATACAATATGGTGAAGATATTGGAAGAACATGGACATCTGTAAAAGACGATTGCGAGTCCAATAGTTTTGGAAAACACGAGTGAGAAACCCAACGTTTTCACGTAGATATACATGGACATAGTTTTAGGACTGAAAAATGCAACAGAAAACAACAAAATTGGGTTTGACAACACGCGTTGTTTACCAGCGCCAAAAGCTCCGGATTATTATCAGTACCGAGAAATAGCTCTTTACGCAATGCTGTTGTTGGGGCTGTGTTTGATGGACTACGCAATCATGCGTTACCGTTCGCAAGTTCTAAGCAAATTCTACCCAGAAAGAGTTCAACCCCGAGCACTCTATCTGCATCAACAAATATAAATGAAGAGGATAGGGCTAGTGAGAAACTTTGCTAATATCATAGCGAAGAAAGCACGAGGGGAAAGTGATGCTAGTTTTGCTGACTTGTTGTTAGCAAGATTCCGTGTGTTACGTTGGATCGCTCAAAGATTCTTCGGTATCGAAAGAGTGCCTTGCTTTTAATGCTATAAATTCATAGACAAGCGTAGTTTGTTGGATGGATACGCATGTGTACAATATTGTGGGGCACATTACTGCAGAAGTTGTTATCATTTAATTGTTTCCCTAAGGAAAAGTTAGTGTATGAATTGCTTCAACCCTGTTGCATACGACAACGTACGTGTGAGCAGAGAGAATCCTTCCATTGTGGACTTGCTAGACTACGCCGCTCTGGCGCGATAACTCAAGATTGGGGTTTTCTAGAACAAGTTTCCCGGAGAAATACATCCCAACAACGAGAATGAAATACCGGCAGCAATAATTAAGAAGCCTCATATATACGTGGATCTGGACATAACAGACGTCCGATCGAGGCAACCAAGCTCTATTTTTTAAAAATCGCCTCGTTCAAGAGAAAGTAAATTAATGAATACTTCGAGTAGCGTGGAAAAACCAGAGATAGAAAGTACATTGTAAAATCAATACAACAAAGTTAACCTGAACCACAGTGAACACGAGAAGAAACCATTTCAAAATGTGAGTTTGTTGGAATCTTCATCTCCCAGCTAAGCTAATGTATCAAAACAATAGCCTAGAGAACCCACAATGAACTGGATGCAATTGATCGAAAATAATTTTTTGTCGCATAGACCCGTAGATAAATCAATGGCCGAAAGTTGTCCAGATATTTTATGTGGCAGCAGTGCATCTGATAATGAAGACGGCAGCTCTGATGTTTCTTCAACCTACGATGAAAGTGATGAATTTAGTTCCTTCAGTTCTTCAAGTTCGTCTAGTTCATTCGAGGAATCTAGCGAAGAATTTAATGGAGGTCCTCTGGAAAATACGCGGGCCCATAGCCCTGTACAGTAATAATGTGAGCTCAACAGACTTACTTCCTAAAGCTCCTTTAGCAGGTGCGAAAATTCTGTTGAAGAATGGACGCCACAGCATCACAGATCCACTCGTCTCCGGAAATATGTTTATGACGCCAAATAATTGATACGGAAGAGTAAAAAATTTGCTAGAGTGGTTGAGAGCGCCGTTGAGTAGCGAAGATAATACTAATTATGAATTATGAACCCAATAACATTACAAATGAAAGTTAAATGCCTTCAATGAGAGAACGGCCGAGAAGAGGAACAGAAATGAGAACAAGGAAACGTTCACATTCGGCCTATGAAAAATTATTGTCTAGTTTTTCTAAAATTTCAATGGTCAAAAATATTACAACAAAATTGAACAAGGGGTTACATTTTGTTCTATACTGAGGTAAGCAAATTTATTATAAATAAATGTTTGTATCAAAATACTTTGTGGAATTGCGAATATTAAAATGATAATTGTGTAATAAAAAATGACTGCGGCTATGTTTTTCATCCCAATTATTTGAAAGGCGAACTGGTACCTATTTCATTAACGCAAACTATTTCATGTTCATAGATTTAATCTTGGAAAATTTTGCTACAGAGCAGTTTGCTCTAAACATTTCCTTACTATTCGTCGATTCAAATTTCCACCCGCTTACTTTTGGGCTATGCAGTTTAGTTTGATCGCGTGATTATTGCCTTGATCATATATTGGCCCGTAAGTACAATGTCTATGGTGAAGTGCTGAACAGTGATGAAAGGTGCTAGTGAGAACCTAACCTTACACTGCGCTGCTACCAAAAGAAGACTATTGTAGAAGCGGCGAACTTCTGGGGCCATGCTATAAAAATATTAACAATTTCGCAACTTGGTCAGCTACCGTCATAGCTATGCCATAACTGCTTCGGGTGTGCACCGTATCTACCATAACTGCTTCGGGTGTGCACCGTATCTACCATAACTTCTTCGGGTGTGCACCGTATCTACCATAACTTCTTCGGGTGTGCACTGTATCTACCATAACTGCTTCGGGTGTGCACCCTACCTACCATAACTGTTTCGGGTGTGCGCCCTACCTACCATAACTGCTTCAGGTGTGCACCCTACCTACCATAACTGCTTCAGGTGTGCACCCTACCTACCATAACTGCTTCAGGTGTGCATCGTACCTACCATAGCTGCTCCTGATGTGCAACGCAGCTACCATTGCTACTAAACGCTAGTCAGCACTCCATTTTTGGCGATAAAAAAATTAAAAGAGGTAAAATAAAATATTCTTAAATTTGATTAGTTGTCTACTCATGAATTAACGCCTGTGTACATCGTCAGTTATCAGTTAGTAAGCAATAACACTTATCTATAATACAAACATGTACAAATTATTATTCTTCGGTAATTTCCATCATTGTGAAAAACAATTATAGCCATCCAATAGATCATTATATAGTTTAGCTTAGAGCTCCACGATAACTATTATATCCAGTTCTATACTTTTACATGAATACAATTTAGCTGTCTTTGCTGTGATCCGATGTTAGTATAGCAGTACCCAGTTTAAAAAACCATCAGGAACAAAAAGCGTATTTATGCCAGCCGAAATGTTCAACAAGGTCAAACTGAATTAACATGCCAAAAATGTCAAAAACACTCTTCGAACAGAAGAAAGTAATTTAAAAGTGATCCACTATCATAATTTGCTAATTTGAGTCACATTTTAGACCGAAAATATATTGATATTTTTTTCAAATGGCTCCTTTCTGATTATTCAATTTCAGCCCCAGTAATTACAATAGGACATATAGCTTGGATTGTGTCCTCCAGTCTAACAATGGCATGAGTATTTAACATTATGCACGACATAAAAAATAGACAAGTATCGGAAATCTTCACTCATGAAATAGATTGTAATAAGTATTGCACAATTAGAATTAAGTTATTAGCATTATAATATATACAAGGACATTTTGGCTTATCAACATTCATTAGAGTGAAAACGATGAACACGAAAATCATGAAATGAGTGAAATTAGTGATCATTAATTTCAAGTACATTCAACATTAATCATATTACAAGTGAATATTTCTATTCGAAAAGCCTCCAATGATTTAATCTAATTTTATTGCATCAATGCAGGTATAAAATTACTCAACCGTGAACAAAAATGCAAGAAATGTTCATATTATTCGATGAACACCAAAAAATACGAAAAAAGAACCCAACATATATTGAAATTTATGTAATTTTTAGAATTTGGGCAATTTGAAGCTCACGTATAACAATTGCGCATATAATTCCGAATCTATTGAAAGCTAAAAAAACAACGGTAAATTCTATGCTGGGGAAAACTTTTTACACTGAAATTACAAAAGATTCCAGGCGAAAAAAGCAACCTTACGCATTCAACTCGCTGCCAAAAAAGGTTATATTGAAATTATTTTGCATTCTGTAATAAGAACAATTGATTGCACTCAGGCTAATGACTCAATATCATAAGAAATGCAGACTCACTCACTCACTCAGAGTTCTAAAAAAACGGTACCCAAAAAGAGAGCGACCGAAGATGGCACGAGCAACAAGTTTCATTTGGAAACTCCATATCAATTTCGTTGTTATTAATACAGGCTTTACTCTATACCGGGCTCTATACTCTTTACTCTATACCGAGCAATAATTGGAAACTCAAGTAAGAAATTGTGGGCCTGAATTCTAGAACCTCGCTGTTTCAATTGAAAGTTTGAAATACTACGTAGATATATACAGTGAACATTTGGGACACGTGTTATTGAGAATCGTTTTCTTCTTTACATCTTCTGCGCAAACGTAACCTACAACACCGAATATAATTATTAATTTATGGCTCATTGCATGATAAACGGGAAAATTTTTCAATGCTTGTAATTCTTATTCGTAGGAAATGCTTAAGTTATTGGACGTACAAATATTATAGCTTCATAATAGATTAGTTTTGTCGAAACCAAATCTATCAACAAATGCTTCGTAAATTCACTGATAATTTAAGCCAGAATTGTATTAGATATTCTATTTAAAGGAATAAGAAGATATTAAACGAAAAAATCAACAACATTAGCGCGGCCATTTTCAAGGCTTTGGAGAAGAACATTATTCACATTTACTATAGTCTCTCTCTCACCCATGAAACATTTTCTAAAACTAATTAGAAAATGTGAACCTCAGACCACAACTCCACGGGAAACGCATGCATTTTTTAAAGTCATCACAAACGCTTGCTTGACGATGCATATAGTAGCACGTCGCAGACGACTTCATCATGGAAATGACGTCACCGAAAGCGTCATCACGGGAATGACGTTGCAGATGACGTCATCACAAGAATGACGTCAGTGGAGTGAGTGGGGAGGAGGTGGGGAGGGAGGGTCGTACCGTCATGCTTCCCCAGGCATGAGTGTCATCATAGAGTTTTCTGGAGACGACATATCCTCGGGTTCTGGGGAGAACAATTGTTAGGAGTGATTTATGTTAACACTTATTATTTATTTAACGTAAATAAAACGAAGGAATAGAAAATCGTTCAACCTCTGAGGTAAATAAAAATCATCTGCCTTCAATAATATTTAGCTCAAAAACGGTGAATACTTTTTCTGAATATATGTAATGCTCGCAAGCACTGATTGTACGAATAGAAAACGTTTTTTATAAAGTTATGGAATCCATTTTACGGAAATGAAATAGTAATAAATAAATTTTATGGAAGATATGAGCTAGACTGATATCAATCATCAATTTGGCCACTGGAAGCTATAAACTCAAATGAGGAATTTCGCTTAACGTTGCACTTGTTTTTAAGAAGTGCACCCCGCCAATTTGATTACAAATGAGGCATTAAAAAATTCACACATTTCCATTGAAAATGTTTCGGAAACGAGCACCGTCTTTAAATAAAAGTTCAGGAATGTTCTTGCGACCAAATTTCAAACAATGACATTGAAACCAATTTGTCACTTGAAAAGAAAGTGACGGAGATAATCTCTCTACTAACAATTTAAAAATTAAAAAGTGCAGGCCTAATTTTAATAAGGCATTCCCGTAGCTTTGTTTTTAATTTATTGACTTTCTGTTTTGTAAATTTAGCAGCACGAACTGGTTACAACGGAGTTCTAGAATTTTGAAACAATGATGAACCCATTCCTCGTAACGTTTTCAATTAAGAGTGGTGAATTTATTGGTAAGTTCCTGTATACGTTAAGTTATAGGTTAAACGGTAAATCCATATGAAATAATTTATAGCCATCATCATTCACACTAAAGACAGTGATCATGCACTCACCAACGCTCTGGGGTCTGAACGAGTACATGAAGTGGAGGTCTATGGTGCGTGCCAGGCTGCCTGTGAGGTCGTGCAGACCGCGCTCCAGACCTGCAATGCAGACCAGCAGTTGCAGGTTACAGGTTAGCACAGTTCCCTCATCCTTACAGGTTACAGTTACAGGTTAGTAAGGGTTTTATCCATAGGTAAGTGCGATTCAGCGGTGTAGGTTACAGGTTGCCGAAATATGATAATACACGTACACGAAATATGGTAATACATGTACACGAAATATGGTAATACATGTACACGAAATATGGTAATACATGTACACGAAATATGGTAAAACATGTACACGAAATATGGTAATACACGTGAGACGGAGGAGTAGGTTACAGGTTACCGAACTGGAAATTTGCAAATAAATGTAATGCTGAGGAGCAGGTTACAGGTTGATACAGTGCAGCAGGTTACTACTGAGTCCTTTGATTAGTATTGAATAAGTGTGATGCAGGACAGTGAGCTGTCATTGAGTTATAATATCATTAATTAATTAATCAATTAATATCATTAATTAATTAATCAAATTCAGGTCCGAATGTCCTGCATTTTGGTATTAGTGAAACGTGAGTGAATCAGAGAATAGCTGTTACAGGTCAGGAGATAATGTCAGTTAATGTTTGCAGGCTAATACGTTAAGTATGTAGACGAAATTAATTTTAACCGAGCACAGAAATACAGAAACACGGCCGCCGTGAACCAAGATCGGCTGATAAAGCATAAAATGGTTATATCTTTCGTTAAGAAATATTGTCTTAAGTTGTAATTTATTATTATCTTCATTCAACGGCGGATAGGAATTTTTTACTGAAATTAAACACAGGATGGGTAGGTAAGTATATCTCGTGGCCCGTGGCACGTGAGAAAGCACTTGTTCCCACGTGTCTTCCCCGTGTAATCGCGTAGCTTATGGCCCTTGTCCTGCACTTGTTTCGTCGTAATCATCCAGCGATACGATCTTCTTCACAATTTGTACGTATATTCTTACATTGACTTTATAAACAAAGAGGTTTTATGATTGCAATGCGAAAATGCACTTAACACCACACCAAAATGAATGTAAACGGTGAAAGTGAATGAAGAGACGACGTAAGATGTTACGACAGAAATTTGTCGCACTAAATTGTACGGTATAACGGGTCTTTTATGATACCATTTTCATTGCTACGTTGTTGAATGTTGCAAACATAAAGTCACAATTTGCTTACCAAAAACCAATTTTATTGACGCGACATCCGTAAACTTCAATTCATTAGTTTTTAATTTATGAATTTTCAGAAGAAGACTTCATTCCTGGTTGTTATTTTCTTAATGAGCGTGTAATTTCTTAAGCAAACATATTGCTACAATTAATTTATTTTCAAATTATCTCTACTAAATTCTCGCGTCGTCACGTGGACGCGCAGGCCGAGAGTCAATAGAGCTCGCGCGCACGCGGCTCAATCGAGGCGCGATTGTGCGCACCAACTTGGCGTAAAATGCGGATTAAGGAACACGCGTCGTGCATACGGAACATGGCGCCCGCGTGTCCGCACATGCCTGAAATACATATTTAAATACCCTGTCGCCTGCCACCATCGTATAAATGCTGTGAATGCAATGCCAGAAAATAATGATGGAATTTGGTAAAATCCAAAAAGTAGCTAATTTTTCCAAATTTTAAGCCACATGATATTAAATTCTTGACAGGTTGATATTTCCTTTAATCCAAGACAGTTGATTTGCAGTGAATTGAAAATATTTCTCCATCTGGACCAAAAATAATTTGAAATATTTAAAATCAATTGTAAACTATACCTATGTATACATATATGTTTACCTCTAGATGTTTATAAGATTTACACGGGCATTCAGTTGTCAAAAGAGATTTGAAACAGCATGAGATCTTCTAGACCAACAGAGGCAGCTGTTGTGAAGCTGTAGCTCACACCAACAGCGGCAACTGTTGGCTCCCGACCTCGCTGTTGACATGGCAAGTCGAGTGGAAGTAGGGAAGGGATATCGACGGTTGAGAAATTAAGTAAACTTTGATAACGTGAGGAAGAGAGAAAGCGAATAAGAAGAAGCGAAGCACGATAAAAAGTGTAAAAAGACACATGTCAGAAAAATGAATGGTTTTGTTTAGAAATAAATTTTGCAAAAAACGAGGGCCAAAACAAAACAAATGCAAAACCTATCCACATGCACATGGGAAAAATATAACTTAATAATCTATTCTTTATGATTTTAATGTTATTATTGAGGCAACTTTATTATTTGCCTTACTGTGTTAAAACTCTATTCATTTATAATATTTTATAAATTTATACAAGTTTTGTGCATGCCTGTGTTATATAAGGGCTATTGGGGTGAAACTATTAACTGGATTTACGATACCGGGATACGGGATATCGCGATTCAGGAATATCGGGATTCTGTATGTCGGAATTAGGAATTCGGGATGTCGGGATTCAGAATAACGGGATATTGGATGCCGGGATTAGTAGTTTGGGTTGTTGGTATTTGGGATGTCGGGATTCGAGATGGGATTCTGGATTCCGGGTTTAGGAGTTTGGGATGTCGGGATTCAAAAATACATGGGTTCGGGATTTGCCATAACGAGATTTCCGTAAAATAGTGATTTTCTATCCCTATAACGCCGGCTAACTTGCCAGTTGAATATTAATTGAACATTTTTTAATATTAATGCAGGCTTGTTAAGTTCAACAAAATATTTAAATATTTTATTGCAATGTGCCTTTTTCCAACTTCATTTGCATGGGTTTTTATGCTTTTCGTTTACAGTTTTTTTCCTCCTTCAAGTTCGTTCACACGGCAATTAAAAAAATAATACAATTATAACAAAATATAAAATATAATAATCTCATATATTAAAATAATAGAATTTTAGTATAATTCCATAGCATATCATATTGACTACTTAGTCTATAAATTTCTCTATTTTATAGATTCTCTTTGATATTTTTTAGAATAATACGTACGTGTTTACTTTATCGCCAATTTCCATTTTCGCCTTCTCTGCCTCCCCCCCCACATTCCTGATTCCCATTCCAGAGCAGCAAGCGCCGCCATTTTGACCCCCCTTCCAGGGACGCTTCTTAAAGCTGACCTGACGACACCAGCACCCTCATCCTTACCCTCATCCTTACCCTCATCCTTACCCTCATCCTTACCCTCATCCTTACCCACATCCTTACCCTCATCCTTACCCTCATCTTTACCCTCATCTTTACCCTCATCCTTACCCTCATCCTTACCCTCATCCTTACCCTCATCCTTACCCTCATCCTTACACTCATCCTTACCCTCATCCTTACCCTCATCCTTACCCTCATCCTTACCCTCATCCTTGTCCTCGTGCGCCTACTTCGCATGATGAATGCTTGAATATTAAATGAAGGTACGTATATAGCTTAATTAGCATAAAAAAACTAACTACTTTACCGGCTATCCTATAACTGTGCTGCAGGAAATCTTCAACGTATTTCTCTTTCATAAGACAGAATTTTGCAAGCTCTGAGAAAGATGCTCATGCTCTGTAAAATGTGACTGTGACTCTGTAAATTAATTTGATGTTAATAAATTCCAGGTAAACTTTTTTTTCTAGCAACCAATGAAGCCAGCAAGAATGCAATAAATGTCTAAATGAGTTCAACGACAAAATAATGTTTAGAACCTTGCGTTTACTCACATCAAATTTATGCAGATGAATGAAAATGAAAAGGAAAAAAGTAATTGGAAAATTCAAATTGAAAAATTAAATTGAAAAATTCAGATTATAACATAAAGTTTAAAATTTCAAATTAAAAAATGAAAGTTAAAAATTAACAATTGTAGATGAAACTTCCGTAACACACCCTGATGATGTTTTTTCGAAGTCATATGTTTCTTCTGCCTCGCTCTGTAAAAAAACTACCGTAACTCACCCTGATGATGTTTTTTCGAAGTCATATGTTTCTTCTGCCTCGCTCTACTGTTCTGGAACCAGACTTGCGTGACACGCTTGCTGAGTCCAGTGAGCTGGGCAATGCGTTCCAGGTCTTGGCTGTCCGGGTTCGAATCGATTTGGAAATTCGCCTGCAGAACCTGGAGTTGCTCGTCCGTGAACGTCGTCCGCACTCTCTTGCTCTTCCGCTGTCCGCCCTCCCCGTCCGTGTTTTCTGAAGAAGAGCACCAGTCAATTCTCCACTCAGAAAGATGAATGGGTTATATTGTCCAAATAGTGTCACAGTTTCTGCACTAGAACTGATAGGCTCTTTTTGCTGGACTTAAGTGGGTCGGCATTACCCACAAAAGTGAAAAAGTGGCTCGGTATTTGGATAAAAACACTAATATCTTTGTGTGTGTGATGCCTAGCGCAGTTGATTGGCGTTCCTCATTTTTACATGTACAACGATTTAGAATAAACTTTAAATTATTGTCGCCCGCTGCAGTTCTGTCACTCAACTTTCATAAAAATAAATGTAAAACAGTTCCTGTTACAGTTTTGTGATTCAACATACAATAAGATGAATATGTAGTAGTTCATGTTGAACTTCTGTCCACCATATTTCACGAATATAATTTTTATAACAGTCATTGTATCAGTTTTGTCACTCAGTATTCACGAAAATAACGATTTAAAAAGTTAAAATTACAATTCTTTGATGCAGTGGCAGTCATCTATACTGTATGTATTCACACGTGTACTGTACACGTATGAACAGTACACTGTATGCATTCGTGTATGCATTCACACGTGTACTGTATTGTACACGTATGAACAGTACACTGTATGCATTCATGTATGCATTCACACGTGGATGCCCACTACAGGCAAGGCGTCTATTAGATCATGTCTGTTCACGCGCTCGTATCCGTGCTACGTGCGCGCCACGTGGCTGCACGTGCAGCACAAATGTTGACTTCCGGAGTCCGGAAAATCTGTGATAAATTTCGTGCTAACTCGATGAGGAGTAAACGAATCTGCTGGAGGTGGAAAGGTTGTGAATTATTCATAAGGTGAACGCATGAGCTATGAACGGCGATAAACCATGATAGCCATAAATTGTTGGTTACAATATTAGGTGAAAAAGATTAGATAGATACTGAAGTGTTAGCGCGATTTTAATTCTTAATTTTTGAGATCTTTGGGGAAAAAAATTGGGTTAGTCGTGCTATGCACGTGTTTCACAGCTTCCATTTTCCACGGAAAATCTTACAATTTCAATTCAAATATGGCCGTATCTCCTCGAATAATCTAATGTTAGTAGCACTATGCTCTTGTTTCATTGCTTCCATTTTCCATAGAACCGCGAATCCGAACCCCGACTAGACCTCATTTTTAGCCCCCCAAGTTTTCCCTCTCAGGGGCCGACCTCCCCTCGTTACCTTGACAACATCGGGCCGGCAATCGATAGAGTCAATCCTTGAGTTCTAACGGAAAATGAAGGATCAGGCTGATAACTCCATTAATAATAATCAAATTATCGTCAAAAAATTGGAAGTTGTTGATCATATAACAAAAAATTTACTGCATATTTCGAGGCTCGTAATGAATATTTGAATCCTTATCTATCATGACATTGTGAAACGATATTAACTGGTTTGTGAAACAGGTAACTTGAGAAGAATATGTTCCTTTTAAGTTAGATATGTGAAAATTTTTTAATTAAATTTTGTTTCCTGTTTGAAAGAGCTACTGTGTTGCTGCGATTTGCTTATTGAAGAAACAGTATATTGAAACCTTATTTAATCAGACAGATCAAATATCAACCTATCTTACCAATGAAGAATTTAGCAATCCAAACGAGGTACGCAACATGTGTTGGGCCGTTATAAATTACATTATATTCTTGATTTCAAATTATATACTGAGTAATTTTCATGAACTAAATCATCTCGTTTCGTTCGATTACTGCAAGACCATAACGATCAAAGTTTAGTGAAACATGTTAGGCTGCTACCGTAAGTTATTCTGGAATAGTTTTATCCCAGCAACAGATTTTGAATTGATACTTAGACTCAGCTCTCACCAAGTGATCATCACACCAATTTAAGAATTCCCAGATGCAAAATACTACCCAATAGATGTCGGCTTGAAACAATATAGCCTAAAATTCTTGTTTTGGTGAACTAAAGTAATGGAGAAGTTCTGTATTTTTGTTCTTGGACCACATTGTCATGAGAGCGTAGATCAGAAAAATGAACAACGCAGTTATTTTGTATTAGTAATCTAATATTTAATCGATAATCTGTTTTAATGTTGGTTATTTCATATAACAAATTTTTTTCGTTTGATCATTGTTTAGATGATATAAAGAATACTCCTATATACGAAATTTGTTTTCCTTGTTCTAAGATTCCAAACTCCATGCATGATTTGTGAGAAATGAATCATCATTGATAAATTATCACGCAGCTGTTTTTTTTTTTTTTTTTTTTAAAAAAAAAAAATTATTTGATTTTTTTTAAAAAAAAATACTCCGCAAACTACTGGTTTTTTTTTTTTTTTTTTTTTTTGCAACGCACCGTGAAATCGCCAAGTCAGCAATTTTGAGTGGCGTTGGTTTAACGGGCAAGTAAATAGGATCTTGCATAGGATCTTAGTTCATGGAACTGGTGGAGCAGATGTCCATCTTGGGGGAGATTGATGGTTGTGAAATTCACCGATTTCCTATCTGACGTTTTTGATCGAGATTGATTCAGCGGTGAATAATGTGCATCACCATGACTATTAACAATATTTTTTAAACTTTGATTCGCGATCGACATCATCGAAACCTTAACGTAAATAACACTGATGTAGTTTTCAATATTACAGTTGATATTAGTAACAACATCATCACCTGATAAGAAGTGTTCATTGTGTCTGCAGAATGAGAGGTAAATCCATTATTTTATTTTAGTCTGAATTTAATACTCGTATTTTCTGCAGAAATTAGTAACAGGGCAATAAATATGTTTCTCCAGTTAATTAAAGCACTGCCAGAATATCCATGTATTTTTTCGGAATACCTACACAATTGAAAACAGCAGCGTGGTTTTCTATTTCCAAACGAACAGGCGGTAAATTAAAACGTACGCCACTGGGACTATATTGGAGTGGCGAGGAACAAGAGGGAACATGACAGATTAAATAATATACATTTAAAAATTACTTTTTAAAGACAACGCTTCTAAAGAATCCAGTGTCTCCAGTGTTAAAGATGTACAATGAATTTCTCATTTTACTTTCGAATATTAAAAAAAATTAATTTTTCAAATTTTTTATATATAATTTTTTTTTCAAAAGTATTTATTCTGTCAATTGATGAATGCATTACCTCCGACTTCACACAAGTGTGCAAAATTTCAGATCAATTGGACAGGTAAAAATGTGTCAAATATCAGTTATAAGATTTGTAGCTGACAAAATTATTTTTGTAATTTTTTTAATAGTAAAAAAAATTTTTTTATTAATAAAATCATTTATTTTGTCATTTGATTCTTGCATTGTCTCCAACTTTACGCAAGTGTGCAAAATTTCAGATCGATAGGATAAGTAGAAGTGTGTTAAATTTCAATTATAAGATTTGCAGCAGACAGACAGACAGACAGACAGACAGACAGACAGACAGACAGACAGACAGACAAACAAACAAGAAGTGAAGTATAAGAGAAGTGTTGTAAAAACGCGTTTGTCATGAAAAAGTTCCCCATTCATGAATTTTAAAAGCTGAAATTTGCTCATATCCATTTTTAAGATTTTCGACTGCTTATTTAATTCGTTGGTACGAGTAACCAGGATGTTGTTAATATATCTAACCCTAATGATTGATCGTAGCGACCTATGAATTAACGTGACAATTTTTTTATATTGAAAGATATACCACCCCATGTTACCAATGTGTTTGAAAGTGTGGAAAAGAAAACAATGAATATAAAATCTTTTTCAACGAGGAGAAAGGTAAGACGCTGGATACAGAGGTGGATACAGCATGTAGCACCCCGTGGGTTTTAATGAGTCCCTAACAAACGTAGGTAATGTGTTTTTTAAAATATATATTATTGTCAATGATTAAGTTTGATTAATCGTCGACCAAATCTAAATTTGCCCCATTGAAGGTAATGTTCCGAAAAACTGAAACTGGTTTCGGGGTAATAAACATAATAAACAAACAGCTTGGTTTTTCCAGCGTGTGTCACTAACTTGTAGTCATATAGCCGCCTTGACAAATTCACCGACAGCTTCGATATACTATCATATGCGTCATGGTAGGTACTTCATGAGATATAAAATACAGCGTCATTAGCAAAGAGCTTGCAGTTCACGAAAAAAGAAGAGGCGATATCATTTATTAAAATGTTAAAGAAAAGAGGCCCGAGAACAGAGCCCTGTGGTACACCAATCGTAATTGGTTTAATGGGTGATTTGAACTCGTTCAATGAAACATATTGTTCTCTATTGATTAGATATTACTGAATTAATGAATAAGAAGGCCTCCTGATACCATAACGGTCAAGTTAACTTAGGAGAATTTGGTGATTCGCAAGTCGAGGAAAAGAGCAACATCGCATTTTTTATCATGGAATGCCATATGTAGGCCGTGGACTTTACACAATATTGCCAAAGTCGTGTTATTGCCCTCACGGAAACCAAATCGATTATCAGACATAAGTGAAAATTTGTCGAGAAAATTTGTAAGTCTACAGCTGATAATTTTTTCGAAAATATAGATGTCGACAACTTCAAACAAACCCTCAAATTCAAACTTGTCTGAATTCCCTCAATATAAATCCTCTTGCCTCTGCATTATCGTAAAAAAATGTTTATTTCCGATGCAGAAATAGGAGATAGAAAACAGGATGCCTCACAAAAAGAAACAAAATCTCTCATAAAGGACCTAATGATTATGAAGCTTTTGTTTGTTATGTCATTGGCAACTAAAATAAAGTAATCGTCGAATTCAGTAGCCGCATCGGTAGCAGGCATAAAGCTTGTTATTTATGGACAATTCGATCTTTTTGAGCGCAAGATTCTTCGCAAGTAAGGAGTTAACAATATTCCATAAAATCCTAAAGTCGTTCGACTTCTGCTGAATTTTAGTCGAGTAGTACTGCTTCTTAACTATTTTCAATAGCACATTATTTTATGTAATATATTCCGATAAATAGAGTAGGACCTACGGTAAACATAAATTACAGCAGTGCGAGAAAGCTCTAGAAGTTTATGCTTCTTGATGGAAGACTTTTATCGGCGGTCACCCAAGGAAGCAATTTAAATGTTTTCAAATCGCGACAAACTTTATAGGAAAATATGCATTGTAAACTTTGGAAAAATCGGTCATGCAAGACTGCATTGCAAGGTTAGGTTCATCAATATTAGTTAGAAGTACAGAAGGAAAATGATCCATTTACGACCTAAACTTTGTAATATTGACAGCATTAATAAGACGAGTTTTTGCCCTAGATGGAGCAGTCGAAATCCCGGTTTAAAATAAAAGAATGTCGTCAAGTGATCTGATGAGTCACATTCAATAACGGCTGAGTCTGAGTTTAATCCATAGAAATTTCACGATATAATATCAAGCAGTGAATAAGGCGTAATAGGATTTTCAGGGGATGTTCTAGTTGCTTTAGTTTATGACTGGATAAATATTGCTACATAGGACATCATGAATAAAATTGAAGGTGATAAAATATAATAGCGTAATAAAAAATCATAATATTCATATTTATATATCATAATATACATAAAAAATGAAAAATTTCTCATCAGCATTGCTGATGCCACTTACCTGCGCCATTATTTTTGTTAATATTATCCATCCTGGTTCAGCAATTTTTTATACATAATAAAAAATTTGACAAATTCGTTCCATCATTGCTATTGGCTCCGCTCTTGATTATATTTTTTTATATATTCAGCATGCACATTCAACAATTTTTATACCATAATTAAATAAATTAGATCTACTGAAAAATAAAATTAAAATTTACAATAATTTTCGATACGTGAATGTCTAAAAATATCTCACCATCGTTGCTGGTAGCACCGCCTTCGACGGCCTCCAGGTAGTGCTGCTTACAGAGCACGCGACTCTCGTGTAGTGCGAACTCCTCGCCGGTACTGAGCTGTCGCTTGCACGCGTCGCACGCGAAACACGCGAGGTGATACACGCGGTCTCGAGCCCTGCGTACCCAGTCCGTGGACCCGATGGCTCTGCAGCACTTGGCACAGCGTGCCCCGAAGTTTCTGCGCGAACATCTTTAGTTAAATTTGATAACCTTGTCGTTGAAAACGAGTTAATAAATTAGGACACATTGAAATAAATTATGATAATTTCGTCTACATTTTTTATTATGCGAAAACTGTCATGTAGCGGGACTATAGTAAGATAAGTTAGATTACAAGTGAAGGCAATCAATTTTGAAAATTTATCACCATGGGTAGGTAATTCCTTGCCGTGGTGCACGTTTCAAATGAATTCACTTCCATTTGTTAGCGGAAATTTTACTATATTTCTATCTTCCATATTTCAAATATAATTAAAATACTTCAATTTAGTCGAAAATGTTACGTCACTAGATAAAATTTTAGAACGCACTTGGACTCACAATATTACTTTATTTTCTATAGAACGTAACTATTTGAAAAATATATTGCCGCAGATTCGTAATCTATAATTGAAATTCAGTCATAAATTCATAATAAATTTTAAACTTATAATCAATCATAGATTCCTAGATAATTATATAGTAATACTCAATAATTGATTAATAGTAATTCCATAAATATGGGTTGAAATTAGCTCCAGCTTCTCTTACAAACTGTATTCATATTACCATTGTAAAATGGAAGTAACCCTCAGAAAGCATCAGCAGGACAATTTTTTTAATCCATACTTTTGATAATTTTCCGCAAGAAGTACAAATATTCCGAAAAATGAGAGAGAATATCTATGTGTCAGTAAAAAATACATAAAATCTTTCAACCTTCTAGAATATTTCAATAGGCAGCAGAAAATGTTACCCGCTGCGCGTGATAACCTAAGTCCAGCTTTCAGTGTTTGATCAGATGTGCGGTGTGGTGGTATCACTGCTAAAGTTTTGGTGTTGTTAATGAAGAATTGATAAACCAGGGAATATTTAGCATATTTGTGATTACGTGAATAGTGTAATGATCGAATATTAACATTATGAAAAAAGTAATTTTCTGGAATAATTGCAAACTACCGTGGAAAGTATCCGACCTCGACGAATTAACGAACGTCAATAATGCCCCGCGAGGTGCAAGTTTTCGAGGTAAGTACCAAAGTAGCCATAAGCCACGCTCGTATAAAAACGATGTATCATGTAAATATAATTAAATTCTATTTTTGTAGGTAATTTTAAACAGCTTTCAATTTTCTACTTTGTTCCATCGCCCACAATCAAACGTATTACTGACCAATATAATATCCTGTCGTTGACGGTTGGTACGTATGCTGTTGCGTCGTATAATAACACTTTTCGTAACTTCGTAGGCAGCCCAAACAACCAGAGTAACTCATATTTAATTTTATTCCGAATAATTAATAACTCCAATATCATTTAAATACAATAAATATTTGTTTCCTGTTAAGGGGAGCGTCTACCCTAAAATTGAAAATTTTCACTTTTTCGGTTTTTATACTCATTTTAAAGCTGACATTCTGCCCTATCCAACGGTACCACTGCCATATCTGTACGTTGATTAATGATTTCACGAATTTCTACAGTACCCCCTTTTTTGGCCGTTTTCTAAGAATTTCACGTTTTCTTTTATTTTTTTCGAAAAATTGACACGAATAAAAGCTGTCTATTTTTTGATTTGACATATGTGTACCAAGTTTCAAAGTGATCCGTCTGTAAATAGCCGAGATAATTTTTGGGGTAGACGCTCCCCTTAAAGTATAGACGATCAAAACATATTCTTTGAAAATCTAATTCCAGAAATATTGAGCTTGGCAATATAAGAAAACATTCTTGCAAATCTTACGAAAGTTCCGGAAAACTAATAAAAACATAAATAATAGCTAAATCGTATGAATATTAACAAACAAATTCTTGAATTACATTTCTTTCACATATCATTTAGTGAGTGCACGAATATAATCACATCATTGCCCAAAATATTCTACACAGATCCAAATCAAAACACTTTATACTTTTTTACGCGTTTCAATTACTCAATAATGAAGAACACTCCGGGTTTTTCATCACAAAAATTCGATGGACGACTCTGCAGACAAAATGACCTCGGTCCGCGCCTCATCTGCAACCGCACGCTGCGAAGTTTCAACGTTACGAAGATTTCGCTTCTTTGCTGGAATTGTACGCTTCTTGTGCCGGGGCTTCACTTTCTTCTAATTTTTGCTCGTAACAGCCCGCTTTTGATTCGTTTCCTTCTCAGCAACCAGCTTCGTTTTCTTGTCGTCCTCATCAGGTTTACACATTTGGCAGTCATTGCCCCAATTGCAGCCTCCGTCGCATTAACCCATGTCAGTTTCAGAAGCTGAACTTTCTTCGTAGTCTACAGGCTTCCGAGGCCGCAGCAAATAACGTCCTTTCTTGACTTCCTGCGTTGCATCGCCAAATTCTGCCGGTTGTGCACTCGATTTTACCGGTTCTAGATTCACAGATCGCAAAATTTGGTCATCTGCCTCCGAATGCTATCTTTTTCCTGGAGTTCCAAGCTTCTTTCCTTCGGAATTCTCTCCTGAGTTCTGTAATTACTGAGACAATTTCTGCTTCTAAACTCCTTTTGTTGGCGTTGCGGACTCGGTCGTCTTCGTCTAAGTTGCCGGTGCCATCTTACCAGAAAGTTTCATTGCTGTCGCTTCTTGTGATTCTTCAACGAAGATTGCAGCTGGGTTTTGTTAGAGCTAATTTGACGAAAAATGTCTTCGGATGAATTTTCAGTTCTCCGTTGAGAAAGTCAGACTTGAGTAAGAATTGCGTAAACTTGATACCGCACTAAAAATTCCGATTCAAATAAACGCAATTAAAATATTAAAAGTTCACATCTGAACAGCTGGTCGATGGTTGAAGCTATTTGAACGATATTACGAAATTGAATTCTCCACTTATTAAGAAGCCTTTGGATCCTTTCATACAGCATTGAAGTCTCTTGAGATGTTTGTAGATGTGGCTGATCACGATCTGCAGCCCTAATCCTTGACAGATCGATGGATCGGAACCTCTAATCTTGCAGCGGTTGGAGGCTCGAATCTTGATGTGTCAGTTGAGACAATGACAGTTTCCAGACCCAGAAAAACGCCTGCTCATTTTCACTTCGTTAATCAGAGCCATAGAAAACGGCTTCAATTGTGAACGATTTCTAAGCTGCCGATCTTTCTGAGATTTCATTTGGATTTCGCGTACAGTAAATTTTCGTTTCGTTTAAGGTAATTTGGCTACGCGATGCCTGGATATATTTAGTATATTAGGAAGTTTAAAGCAGAGTTCAACATTAACTCATGCTCAATAAACATTTGTTCATTTAGTAATCAAACTCCGCAGCTAACTTTCTCGTCTCGTACGTCTAGTCAACTGTAAACCCCATATTCTATAACATAAAATATTTTTAAACAAAATCGTTCAATTGCAGATACATATCCCAAGTTTTGGAAGTTTGAATATAATCCTAAAATTTCTTGTTTTGTAATCCAGATCACGAAAAACGGCCATTCCAACTAGATTTGAATTATCCGACTGAATTTTATAAAAGCGATTAATATTGAACGATTTTTTACAAATGCTAAAATACAACAGTTGGAAAATATGAAAGTAAAGCTCAGAAGTATACATTGTTACAATCGACGAAAAAAATGTTGCATTCCGCACTATTCATACTTAGCTATCGGAATAAATAAGCGACAATTTGCGCAGGAAGCGGCAAAGTGATGGCGGCAGAGATACTGGCGAGATCGTGTGAGATATTCGAGGAAGTTTATCACATCCCGGGGATACAGAGGAGCGTGAGTCTCGCCACTCACTCATGAATGGATGGACAGAGGGACAAAAAACCAGACCAGAGTTAGGAAAAAAACCTGGACGGTGAGACAAACGTTTGACGGGAACCTGTCAATCTGAGTGACAAGTGAATCAGAGCTAATCATTATAAGCGAGTCTTACTTACTCACGTCCATAAGGCTACGAAATTAAAACGTACGCAACCAGTAGCGCTTTATCGAAGAATTACCACCTGAAATAACGAAGCGAAAGGAATTTCTTCATATAGTGAAGGAAAAATGGTTCGAGTATATCAGTTAAAGATTTAAACCATTCTTTCGAAATTAAGTTTTTTGTTCAGCTCCATAAAATTTCTTAAAACAGTTTCTGGAGAAATAACACGGTAGAGAAAATCAATATGGAACTGAAATGGAGCGAATAACAGGATTCAAGCAATTTTTTCGTTCACGTTCATAAATACTTTATTTATATTTTATTATAGCGAGCATGCTAAAAAAGCTACAAACGTATATGTCAGTCAACAATAGCTATGACCGGCCATATCAGTGAGATATGGAGGCATTGATCTACATTCTACACGTCTAATGACCCGCTACTGTAGAGATAAGGTAGATTGTAGCGATATCAGTAATTGACAATGCAAATAACAAAGAAAGGTTATTCCATTATCAGTTATTTGTTATGGCAATGGCACTGATTGGCAATAGGAATCCTAGTTATGAGCAATATCAATTGCAGCGATGGACAATAGCATCGGTAAATGTAGCAATTGGTAAGAAAAATTTACGTGATCGGCAATGAAAATAATAGTGATAGCAGAGGCAATAGCAGTGATAGGCATTGGCGTTCGCAATGATGCCATTTGCCATACTATTAATAGTCTATGGCAAGAACAGTAATAAGCTATGGCAAAAATACCTTAAAAAGAATTTATTCCCACGCACAACATAGCATAGTATTAACAAGTTGTTTTGATACACAGTATACCTTATTAGCAAGGCATTGTTCACATGCACAGTATACCATGTTAACAAGAACTTCGTTTCACACTCAGTCTAGCGTATTAATAGTACGGTATTCACACGCGTATATTGTATATTGTATACTGTATGTTGTATATTGTATACTGTATATTGTATATCGTATAGTGTATACTGTATATTGTATATTGTATATTGAATGTACCTTATGGTTCCACTGTTAACAATATACTTTTGAAATGTTTGTTAAAATCAGTGATCTACCACCATGCACAGAGCC